TAGCAGGCGGAGGCCTACGACTAGGAACTGGCCTTGAGGAGCTGACGGACAGATGCAGGTGAAGAGTGAACCAGCCTCGCACCTGAGCGTGATGACACTGAGGGGGTTCTTCAGCGTCATCCCCCAACGGTATGTCCACGCACAGCTAACAGACTGGGGCCGAGCAGCTCTTCCCTCCCAAGGGAAAGGGACAGGCCCTGACACATTCCACAAGCGCTACAGAATGAAGATCCCTTTTCCGTGGAGACGAAGGGTAACGTTTGCTGAGCTCCAGCAGTTCCCCAGAAGCCCTCTGGTCTGAAATCTCAAAGGAGAGAAGCGAAGAGGTGCCCAGACTTTGTTATCAGGTGTTACTCCTCCTTCAGGAGGATCAGGCCCTTTGCTGAAAGTCCTAAATCAGTCTGAAGTGTAAGGAGAGACTGTGCACAGCACAAGGAAGGCGAATGGAGCAGTCTCACCTAGTTCTAGGCCAGTGATGGCGAACCTATGACACGCGTACTCATTTTTTTAGTTGATTTTTCTTTGTTAAATGGCATTTAATATATAAAATAAATATCAAAAAATTTCTATATGTGACACGGCACCAGAGTTAAGTTAGGGTTTTTCAAAATGCTGACACGCCGAGCTCAAAAGGTTTGCCATCTCTGTTCTAGGCCAAGTGAAGAAAATTTCTTTGTGCTTTGAAGACAATAGCAAGGTTTTCTTTTACATGTAAGCTACCCAGATGTTACCTCAGTTTCCTTTCCATTCATTCAGGGGACATCTATATGACATGTAGATTTTCTGTATGTCAGCCACTCTACTGGCACTGGGGATGCAAGGAATAATAAAGTACCATCAGACCCAAACAATTCACAGGATAATAGAAGGAATAACCAAGTAAACCACTGGAACACAACGTGATTGGTTCTGTAAGAGAGACCTGAGCAAGATGCTCAGTGAACACAGAGGGGGTGGTACTAACACTGTGGGGTTAGGTCAAGAAGCCTCACTTTGAACTAAATCACAAGGTTTCTCCAGGTGGAAGGTGACGGGAGGTGGGGGGGGGGAGCAGGGAGGGTAGGGAAGGGCATCCAGGTAGAAGAAATGGCAGGACAAATGCATAGAAATGTGCAGGCACACAGTACATGCAGAAGAAGCGATGATGATTAAGGGGAAGAGCAAGCAGCAGGAGGAGTAGGAGGGGGCAGACCTTAAAATGCCTCTAGAGCAGGGGTGAGGAACCTATTTATTGCCAAGGGCCATTTGGATATT